GGTGACTGCGCAACGCATTCGCAATAATCACATTACGAGCTCATCCCTTCGTGACCCTACCGGCTACCTGGATGCACCCTCTTCCCTCACGCTCCCACGCAGCCCTCACTAAAATAATACTTGTAAAAATACAATTATAATCGTATGCGCACGCCTGAGCTTCCGCTTAGCATTATCTGTGGTTCGTTTTCACGAGGGTGCATCATCATGGCCAGCAATAAAAAAGTATAAAACTGAACTGTCAGTTTGACAGCCCGCGCTTTTTAGCATCGCGTTTAATGTGTAATTTGTCGGGATGGGTTTTGTGATAACATTCGGAGGGTGTTTGATTGATTAAATAAGCGTGCACAATGCAGATAGGTGGTAGTTAAACGATCTATAATGATAAAGGGAAAGTGTCGGTTAATATATGCTCGGGCGTAGGCGGCGTAGGAGGTTGGAAGAATTAATTTATCCCCTGAAATTATTATCTTGAAACTACAGGCTTTCTTGGACGTTTGGTGGACGGTAATTTTTATTGCAGTTGTTTAGTACCTACTAGAAAATCTCAAGCCTCATAGCTTTTTTACCGGGACGGCAAATGGGAAGCATTTGTAGCAAGTAAGCAGGTATTTACGAGTAAAAATTTGAACATTCGAACCTAATTTTTTAATGTTACCTCGCCTGCAATATCCAGATATCAAATTAATCACCACATTAGTGAGTTGTAACTTCATAAAGGGACAATCACCGCCCAGTCCCAAACCGTTGGCTCTACCCGTGTGGGGTGTAGTAATCAAATTATACAAATTGCGACATACAATATTCATTGCGTAGTGATGCGTTTCCGTATTTTGCAGCCATTATCGATATTGAACGGTGTCGACGATGCAAAAATGCGGAAATCACAAATCCTGAAGTCTGCAGAAATATACCACCTCAATGAAATTATTGAATGAGGATTATGATCCTCGCCACCTTTAAAGCCGATGAAGCTTCCTTGCTGAAAAATGGAATAGTAAATTATGAGTCACGAGATGAAAGAAGATAGATAGGTATGTATAAGGTACCTAAACTCTGATTTTTAATTCGACGGAATTTTGACATTTCAGAAGTTTTGTCAACATTGAAACATTCCCACTAAGAATGGAGAGCATTTTTACAAATTAAAAAATAATCCTTTCTTGAATTTAAGGTTTCACTTGAAAAACTAAGGCTTAAAAATGTACTGATCCTTTCAAAATGGTCATTAGAATTTTTATTATCATATTTTTGAAGTTACAAAAAAAATTGGGAATTACTGGACTCCCTGGCCAATAATCCATGGGTTACAAACCTTTTTTATGAAAATTCTTTTGTTAATAAAATTAAGCTTGATAAAATAATCAATTTAACAAGATGCCAATTTTATAATCCAAGTTGATTAAGATGACGATAAAGATGATTGATGATCAATACATATTTTCGTTTATGTTAATATGTCGTTTTTCTGTGTTAAAAACACGTTTTTTTCTATTTAGTCTCTAAAATGTACATAATAATTAGTGAACATTGAATTCACAAAACAAACAATAGTTCAATCTTAAAAGTTGTACTTGATGAAATTTCATTTCATATTATTTATTATTAATTCAAAGCAATAAAGGCTTATTACATCTGAATTGTCAAAAAATGACAGCAGAATTCCGTCGAATTAAAAATCGAACTATAATAAGAAACCTGTAAACCTAATAATGCCAGAGACTAGTCTCTCCATCCCCATAGATATTTGGAATAAAAATCTACAACTTGGATTTTTTTTACAAATGTAACTGATTTGATTTGTTGATGATTGCAGTCTGTTAAATTAAACCTGATTATTCGGTAGTACACTTCCAGATTCCTGACATCATTATGTCGATAGTCGATATCAATGTCACAACAACTACCCACGCACTAACGTCCGAACAAGTGTGATTAATTCATACCCAATAATGAGGCGAGCTTTTTAACGGCGCTCGGTCGGTGATTGATTTGACCAGACACTTATTTACGCAGTTCGTAGCACTTGGCAGTTTTCACTGTACGTAGATACTGCATTACATACATTTAATTTTGTATAGGATACCTCGATTACTACATGTTGGGCGCCAAAAAAGCCAACTTAGTTTTTGACACTTATTTACGCAGTAGCACTTGGGAGTTTTCACTGTACACAGACATGCTTTTAATTTTGTATACGTTATCTCGATTCGATTACTTGTTGGGCACCAAAAACTAAATTGGCTGTTTTGGCGCCCAACATGTTGTGATAAAATATTTCGGCAACTGTAAACCAATTCCACTTTGTTATCGAGTCGATTTATTTGTCAGTTAATAAGTTAAGATAAAGCATTATGAACATGTTTCAGGAAAATTTTGTCTTAACATCAAGTTAATTCTTCAGATAGCGTTGTCTAGCGGTTCGTCTGTGATTTTGCTCTTAGGGCTGATTTTTCAATCCTCAGATATCTTTTATCTGAAGAATAACCTTGTCATTTTGACATATTTCCCATACTGAAACTGTCAATGTGCCAAACTTATTCTTCAGTTATAAGTTATCTAACGATTGAAAAATCAGCCCTTATTAAAGTAAAAGTGATTGTTCACATACACATACAGTGATAAATTATGTTCGTTATCTTATGAACTCTTACAAAAAACTACAAGTCGTGAGTATTGTCAACTATCCCAAAAAGAAAATACAAATGAAAAATTGTCCTGAGGTTAATTTCCTCATTACAGCGTAACGGTGAGCCAATAAATAATTCCTTCTTTATGCGTCCATAATGACCGGTTCAATTGCTTTTTAACCCACGCCCGGAACTAATTTATTCAAGAGTGAAACAACAGTGCAGTGTTTCGATTATTCTGAGCGTTTTCAATAAAAACAGCAAATGCGCAAGGGTTTGGTTGTAGCACGCGTGGGCGCGTGGCGGTCACGTGCTAGCGCCATCTTGTGTGATGGGTGGGAACTTCCGCGGGAGTGCGTCAGCCATTGTGGGAAAAGTGGACAAGGTGTGACTGATAACCCTTGATATAATCAACGGTGTATTACGAAGCCACTAATTCACCTGACCCGTTGAAATGATTTTTTTTCGAAGAAACTTGCACTTTTTTATGAACATATGCCATTTTGACGTGTCGTATGATGATTTGTCCAGAAACATAATAAGGTTTTGACAATAAATTAGACTATGGCATTAGGCAAACCAAAAATCTAATTTATTTATTAAAAAAGGTTAGGATTAAAATAAAATGCATTATTTCCGTTATAATTTAATGAATTTTTTATATCACCAATCAATACAATAAAATTATCGTGAATGTACATGCAACACAACAAAATGAGTATTTAGAATAAAAGCTATAAATAATAAATAAGGGCAGTAAATTCTAGCGTCTATTACGGTGCAAGTAATATGTCAATATTTTAAAATAATGTTTCATTAGACTTTAAAAATATGTAGGGTTAAAAGATCCTTAAGTTTTATCTTCATAGGTGAAAAAAGTAACTCTACCTATGTACTTTTAAAATTGAAAACGACATAAGTAAAATAATTAAAAATCTCACAAAAAGAGCAACTTAGTAAATAAATTCGTTTGAATACCATCATTTTGATGGCACGAAGTGGAAACGTTTGTTGAAAAATCATAAAGCTTTATGGATGTATATCGCCTGTAGGGTTATTAAAGGTGTATTCACATTGATATCAAGCTACGCTGTTAAGATTTTCCAACTAAACGAGTGTTTTGAGACTGTCGTATATCTAAGTGGGCGGATAAGTTACTTAATAATAAGGCACCATTATAGTTTAGGCTCTGGCACTTAGCCGATGCTGTAAACACACGCACGTTCACTACCTTCATTGTATGGAAAAGTTACGTTGCGTTCGAGTTGCGCCACAGTCGCCAGTGTGCCAGAGACAAAGAAATGTTACTGCTCAGCTACAAACAAATTCCAACCTTGTGACGTGTATCAGCATACTTAGAGCTTGAAATCAACACCCTGTATATCTATGCATTTCGTTAAATGTCCGTTGCTGAGCAGTCACAGTATAGTGAGATCGTAGTTTTTACAATTCAATGCAATTTTCATGTAACCAAATCTTGCATTATTTCAAATGAGACGATGTTCTGTACATGTAATATACGGTTCAAGTAATGAATATTATTTTTTTCTGACTCGATCATTTGGTGGAAACTAAGAAGAGAAAGGAAAATATTTGAAAACATTTTCGAATTTTAGGTTTTTTATTTGCGACAATTTTAATCAATGTTTCAAAAATGTCCTTTTCAAATGACACACGGTCAAAACTGGGTTTATGAAATTATAAAATCTTATCATTTAAAATTAAAACTCTTCTCGTGAAACTTTCCAGGTTAAACTAGCAAATGATTGTATAATTAGAGCAAATAATGCCAATATGCATACATAACAACACATTTGAACGTAGTACATACAAAAAATACCTACGATTTTGATTTATAACATATTATTGAGTCAACTTCTTACTAAATAACATTACACATAATCACGGTCTGGGCTACCGTCACTTATTTCTACAGGTTACATTGTTTACTGGTCTCTAAATACATAATCATTTTAGGATGGAGACGCCAACAAATGAAATAAAGTAATATTTATGACGCAACAAATACTTTTCATATTTCTATAAAATCTCAAGTCAACAATGTGATTATACATTTATTGAAAACTAACTTCCCGCCCGCGTTGAGTTTTGTCTATCACAGAAAAACTTTATCGCGCGCGTCCCTGTTTCAAAAACCGGGATAAAAACTATCCTATGTCCTTTCCCGGGACTCAAACTATCTCTATGCCAAATTTCATAATAATCGGTTCAGTGGTTTAGGCGTGAAAGGGAGACAGACAGACAAACAGAGTTACTTTCGCATTTATAATATTAGTATAGATTAGCGCCTATTCTTCAGTGTTTAACTTATTATAACTTGTTACATTTAACTGAGTACTATTATCTCCATCATGTAGTTATTCTACTGCTATTTCAATTTACAAAGCGATTTTAACTACTAATTAATATTTTTTGCCTATTTTTGACACAATTTACCAATGCAAACTTCTATCTACATTTGAAATGTCCTCTTTTGAATTCAAAAGTTAAATTAGTATTCAAGTATTAAATAAATTAATAAATCTAGTTACATTATTGCTTTATAGTTACATTAATATCATGATTTGGTTTGTTACTTACGTATTAGTTAGTAAATATTAGTAAAATCAGTCTAGTCTAGGGCGATATCGGTGGTTAGTTAGTCGTGATATTATATTGTATAGTTACAGTATATTAGTGTATTTTATTCATTATTATGTTAAATAAATTTAAACTAAACGTTCTTACTACAATTCCATTTGACTAATCGTAAATCGACCACAAATAAGTGCTATATTTTTTTAATATTTGCATTAATTTGTGACCGTGGATGCTATTGACATTGGTTACATTTATTAATTGCAAGAAACCAAAAATAAATTAGAATACGTATTTTCAAAGCATTATGATTCTGATTACGATAAATGAATTAATCATCTACACCCTGTATTCGTATACTTCAAAAACACTTCTAATTTTAAAAAAGAGTAATTATGTAACCAATTAGTATTTTGTGAAAGAAGTAACTGCGAAGAAAAAGTATTTTAGAGAGCACACCACTAGTCTAAATAAATTCGATCAATATAAATCACAAACATGAGCAAAAACATGTGCACAAATATTAAAATAAGAAAATTATACTAACGTAGATACCATTGAAAGTATATTGATATGAAAATTGAATGAAAACAATTATAATGTGATATGATATACGTAATAGTTTCTTAGGCATTTGAAGAAACTGGTCAATATTTTACAACAGCTCCTTGCAAATATAAATATTAAAATGGACAAATAACTATTGCGAATATATGTATAACAAGCGTAACTACGAGTATCAACTCACAAAAAACAATTTTAGCAGCATATTAGCTGATACGTACAATTAAAGCACTATAACAATTATATTTAAAATAAATACAAACGACAATATATTTTCATTAAATCAAATTCACGGCGACTTTTAATAATTACGAAATGAATTCTAACGAAAACAGTGAACTGTTTCTGTTTCTCTCAAAAAAAATAATAATGAATAAATAAAAATAAAATAAATCACACAACGCGAAAGCACACAAAAAGGCCCAAAAATTCGCAAAAAACGAGGGATAGTCAAACATTACCGGTACTTAATGAGAATGTGTCAAATGCGAATTGGACGAGAATTGCAAGCGCCAACAAACGTAAACGTCACAACAAGCTACACATTTTGGCATCTAAAGTCGTTGTAATAAGGTTCATTTAGGTACATTCAAGGTATGTACGTAACCGTGTACGTAAACAGATCCTTACAAGTATAGTCTAATTGTTTCGATACGACTCTATTTATCGAGAATGAATCGGTAAACGTTGAACGATCACATTCGCGTCGATTGATCAATTTTAGCGATTGATTTTTGGGTAAATATTTGTTGTTGATTGTTAGACTTGACGTCAGTTAATAGCACATCAGGCTATACGTTTTATGTTACGTTCTCTTACGTTTAGATGCAACAGTGTAGGTAGCTTGATAAGACATTTTCCGACACAATCGAGCAAGTACAAAAAACAAAATAGAAATGTAACTGTACCAAGCAAACACTTTATGAAATAAATTTTCTTCAACATTAGTTCAGTACATTTTTAAACTTTTTTATTCAACGTTTTGATCTAATTCACTGTTTATGCACCTTTTCAGCAGTAGTAGTAACAATTTATAAATAGTTCATGTATCTGAAAGTAGAAGTTCTTGTATAAGTGATAATAATTGTGAATGTTATATCGTCCATTTGTGACGACATAAGTGTGACATCTTCTGTTAATCTAACTGAAGATGTCACAATGTCGTCGCAAATGGACGATATGTTAATAAACTAAAACTTAACCACGATAAAAACTAAAATAAATCATTAAGGTTAAACTTTGGTGTTAAAATGAAAGTAATTTTAATAAAGATATGTACAAAAGCACGCCTGAAAGAGCTTTTAAGTACAGTCGCCACTTTAAACAACATGGATTAAACCGTATATCTTTAGCATAAGGTTATATATCCATTAGCAATAGGTTGATGCGCCCGCAACTGTACTTTAATATCAAAAAGTACCTAGCATTACTTTTTCAATCACATATTGTGAAGTAATCAGTCTAAGAGAAGACTGCTATTTGCTATGATGAAGTAAAATATTTAAATGACGGGTGGTTACAATTATAAGCTATGAGTAACAGTGTTGTGACCATTATTTAGAAAACTATGGAGCTATGATTTATGAAGCCATAAATAACGTATAGTTTAATCAGTTCTTCAATAAGGATGGACAATGTATATTGTATGCATCTAGATATTACGTATATTTTACGAGTGTGTATAATGTGATACTTTAATAACAATGAGTAATAATTTCAACTAAATCTTAGTCAGCGCCTATTTATGCCAGTCCTTTATTTAGGACGTTCAATACAGTTATGCAATATGAAACAGAGGGTAAGCTTTTAACCTTAGTTGGTCCTTCATTTAGAACTACAATTTCGTACATAATGGGAAGCGCGATATGATTAGTAAATTTAATGACAGCTAATTGATTGACTACAGCGGAATATTTATCTCGGATAACTCGCTTTTAATTCTGCAAGCCTTTATTTCAAACTCTACATTGAATTACTGAGCGTTAGAATAGTCTTAATTGTATTGTCCTTCTAAAAGAACACTAAATAATGTTTGTTCTTTTATCCACTGTCTTAACCACAATAGGTAATACAAACGTGAAAAAGGCGATGTCCTTTCAAAAGTACACAAAAAGAGTTCTCAAAGAAGCCCACAGAGGGTCGACCACACGATCTCAGCGGCGACTATCACAGCGAAGTGTCGCAGGTTCGTTCGCTACAAATCCGTGACAGGTCCGAAGAGGACCGCCGAGTTATTCGCCGAGTTGTTGCTGGTCCTTCGAGCCCGAGTCCCGGGTTCGTGTTCCGCGTCGCTGGGTAAAGATTCCGGACCGCTGGTGACTGCTAGACCGTTGAATTTGGAGCGTAGTTGCGTCACGAGGCGCTCCAATCTGGAAATTGGTGAGGTTGTAGCAGCTTCAGCAAGTGTACTTCATAGTATAATATATTTTCTCTGATCTAGGTATTACTAGACTAGCCCTGTTTAAAGTAGAGGCAATGTGGACCGACGACCTTATAAAGGTAGCAGGAAGGCGCTGGATGCAGGCCCCTACCAACCGGGTGATGTCGAAATTATTGAGTGAGGCCTATGTTCAGCAGTGGACGACTTGTGGCTGAAATGATGATGATGAAAGTGGAGGCAATAGTAGGGATTAAAGTATTACTGTGACGTGAAAAACTCTTTTAAAAGCCTATTTGCAGAAAATAAACGACTTATGTCCAGAAATGATAGCAGCCTAGCAGCTGATGGTGGTGATGATGATGATGTGGCTTGCAGAAAATAAACGTCTTTTATGTCCATCAGTGAACTGCCAGGCTAATGATGATGTGGCGGAAAGTAAACAATAATAATGTGCATCTACAAGACCGTACCACTTACTTGAGAGCGTGCTCCTCGGCGTTCTGCTTCGCTTTGCGCATATCCGCCATTTCCTTGCGCAGGTCGGCCAGGTCTTTGCGCATGCGGTGCGTCTCCGCGTCTTCGATGCCGTTCGTCGCTTTCGTCTCGTTGGATTCTATGCTGTTTTTAAATTGACTAATCATTAGTAAACTGATATCAGTTTAAAATTCACTTTTATAATGCTACAATGAGGATGGAAAAATACTCGGATCAGGAAGGAACGACTCAGGAAATCATAAGGGCATGCCCTTATGATTTCCTGCAGCGTTGTCATCTTGAGGAGGCGCAATTCGTTTTTGAGTTTGCTAATACTTTATTTATTTAAAAAGTCTGAGTGCGAAATCTTACATTTGCTTACTGGTAAATTAATTGGAATGGGAATCTCCTGCAATGGAGAATAAATTATCTGATGATGATTATTATTATTATCCTCTATATGAAGGATGCAAATGCACCTAGTTATTTGGAGAGGGTCGAGCACCTGCAGTGTAGACCAAATGATGACAATGATTATGATGATTTTATACCCATCTCTATTCAATAATCTCGATGCAAATGCACCTAGTCATTTGGAGAGGGTCGAGTATAGACCAAATGATGACAATGATTATGATTTATACCCATCTCTATTCAACAATCTCACCTTGTCAACCTGAGGAGGCGCAATTCGTCCTCAAGTTTGCCCACGCTTTATTTATTTAAAAAGTCTAAGTCAACACCATCCAGTGTTGGTCAAATCCTCAATTTGACTATTAGCATAGTCAAATAAGCGATGATCGAGCTTCTGCAATGGAGACCAAAAGACCTAATGTTGATGCTATAATAGTAATCTCACCTTGTCAACCTGAGGAGGCGCAATTCGTCCTCGAGTTTGCCGATGCGATCCATCATGCGGCGCCGGTCGGCCTCGGACGCGCGGAGCGAGCTCTGTAACAGATCGTCTGCGTAAACCGATAATTTGAGGAAGGTTTGGCGTAGATAGACCATGTAGAAACATAAGTAACCCTTTATAAGATATAGGCGAGTCCAAAATCTTGGTAAAATACTCTTACTATTGACGTGAGACATGGAGTAGTTGACCCACGAATTGAGTCTCTAGGAGGCTGCATTTCGTAGCAAAGACTAACTTGTCATAAGCGCAGTTCATACCATTTACTTAATTGACATACTTTTTATAAGCAGAATTTCCACGAATCGCCCTTTGGGTAGTAGGTACAATAGGTATCTATGATTTTCATAATCGCACCTATCGCAACACAACTAAATAAGTGAACCTTCACAATAAATCCTGCAATTTTTTATCAGCGGGACCACTAGCAGCCCTGGTTTTCCCAGCATATTCCGCTGCACCCAAGCGACTGCTAATGTATTCCTTGGCACGGCCGCTGACCGAGCGCGTTAAAACTATGCGTTTGACGCCGAAGTTACGGTTTGTTGTGATAGCTCCGCGCTCGTGGCTTTTGTGCGGAGTTACGGGCCTTTACTTGGCCCGAAAGGTTTTAAGGTTCAAGTTATGTTTCAAGGGACTGGTGGACTAAGATTGCCGACCGTTTATTAGTATTTTGGGTGATTACAGAATAATTTGAAATTAATACCACACGCAACTCTCTACATAGCCAGACCCCAGATAAATAATATTTATATAAAGACCATACGCTGAACAGATTACTGAAAGAACTGAAATCGTCGAGATCTTCAAACATGAAATTTCTAAAAAAATACATAATTATCGCATCAACTCTAGTCTCTACGTCAGACAGAGTGCATGAAAAATTCACATTAGTAAAAATAAGACATAGTCCGTTAAAATCTAGCATTTAATTCCATCTCAATAATAAATTACCATAAATCTAATTCGAAAGTTTTGTAACTGTAAAAACAACACGTTAGGTCAACTTAAGATTATCCTAAACGCTCATGATAACATTTGCTTGGCAAATTCAAGTCGCAAGAGTTTATAATGAGTTGGCCAGGCTTGCTAGACCTCTGGCAAAGTTAAAATCCGCCCTTTCTTGATCCGAATCTAAATGTAATAAGGGGGGGTGGGAGATTATCTTACGATGGAACTGTGATGCCGACGATGAAGCTATTTTGGTGCTGGTCTAAGTCAAGAAAGTACAGCAGTGAGAAAACTAATCAAAATGTATTCGAAATCAGAACAGCATAGAGTGTAATATTGTCTGGGAAATGTGCTTTACAAAATCGTGCCCTATGCTGTAGTGAAGGTAATTACTCGTACCTATACAAAGACAAATGTGTAAACTCGTATTTTTTTCAGAGAAAAGAAGTTTTCAAATAGAACCATACCGTAGTCTTACATATTATCCATCAATAAAAACTTTTTTTAATAATAAATTAAGGCGTTTTTGTTTCAGACCCATTTCAAGCGGGTGAAACCACTGACAGTATTATAAATTTTAGCACTAATCAAGTGTTTAATCTTATAAAACCTTGTGAACAGGGCTTTCTGCATAATATTGTAGTCTATGGCCAAGATCTTTCCAGGAAAACCCTAGATTAGTGCCTCAAGGGTCTCATACGCTACAGCCGCCATTTTGCGTCGCCACATCCCGGGCCGCGTTAAGTAAGATTACACGGCTAAGTCTATATGCGCGGCCAAATAGACAGACAGCGGGCGGACCGGCTAATTTTGTTTGTTCCGCTCGTTCCGTGTTGTTACTCTGTTGATATATTAGCTGCCATCATAGCAGTCACTGCAAACAACTGACAGATACATAAACCGCATGAAACAAACGAATTTGGAAAGACCTGCGAAATTATTTTGGTGAGGTGGGTTAAAGGTTAGCGAGAGGAACTGTCAATTTGGAAACACTCTACAATTCTTAGGACGCACATCTCTAAAGTGTAAACACTATTTACATTCTCAGTATATTTTGGACTTTGCACGCCTGCATCATGTAGATCCTGGCTACACAGGAGTTGCAGCGGTGGGAACGAGAGGTTATTCACACCGATGCCTGCTTCAGCCTCACTTTAAACTTGTCTTAACTTTGAACTCCTCCTATGTTCTCGTGATTAATTTCGTTGCGGGTCCAATGACAGTTTAACTTGCCCCCGGGACAAACTTGACCTTCACTGGTTGGGTGTTTATTGGCGGTCATGCTGTAGATCCTGGCTACACAGGAGTTGCAGCGGTGGAACGAGAGGTGGGAATAGTCCCGTATCAGCCTTACTTTGAAGAAGAAAATAATGTTAAATACACAAATCAACATGGTCTCATCATGGACATTAAGAGTCACGTCAGAATTTAACTAGTACACTAGATTATCAGTTGTTATAACCTAGAAGATAGAAGGTTTCTACAAATATCTAAGTAGTAAATAGAATTATTGTGACTTCATGGACACCGAAAGTCTTTTACAGATGAGCAAACTGAAGAATTTCGTGTTTTGTATCAGAACAGTCACTGTCACTTCTACGGCATACTTAGTTACCTCCTAACCTAAATATTTCGAAGATGATTACGTGTGCTCTTTCATCTGTAGGTTCCGGCCCTTCGGTCTTTTATTGTTGCTTTAAGTCTTACATTCAATTATTAATTAGTACACTTAAAGAGCAAGCACTTACACGGTTTATCCGGAGGTGAGAACGGTGGCTGCGTGTAACCCGTTTAGCGCGCACATTAAGTTGATGCTAACCGAGTGAGGTACGGCCAGCAATGTATGTTGGCATATGACGTCCCTCAGTTTTTGAAAATAAAAGTTTTTGTTTCAACATTTACTTGTTTATAACTCTTCAGTCCTTCCCAAAGTTCAACAAGAATTGCAACTGTTAATCGTAATCTTGGATTCGATTCGGAACTTTCGGAAGATATTATATCCATGTAAGATGTAAATCTTGCATATTCTCCAACCATAACTCGTAATTCAATGTATAGAAGATAGTGTAGCATATGGCACTAGTATCAATCAATACATTTGAAGGCAGACTTCCTCAGTCTCAGTTCTTAGAGCTAAGAGAAAATCTAAAATGTTATAGATAAAAAGACAGGCCATATGCAAAGACAGGTTGTAGATCCATCTATGCAGGGATTGTAAATTGTAATGATGAAGGAGGGGTATAGCCTTGTTTAACTGGCAGTGGGAGTGGTTTACAAGGACAAGGATCAACCACGGCTGCGTACATTTTTGGACGTATTCCACTTTGAGCACCCGCACGAATAGCTTAAAGCACCTATCGATAAAATTCCACGAATAACACCTGCCCAAAATATCGATAGGTGCTCTAAGTGGAATATGCCAGATGCTATTCGTGAGGGTGCTATTTGGGTGGATGCTCAAAGTGAAATACGTCAATTTTTGTGGGGGTAATCTGCCAACTACTATCAACCTTCCATTGCCGATCGTACCGATGTTTTTGCACCTCAATTAACTTATTACGAGGCGGGTGCGCCGATGGAGCGCTAATTGCCCGCGCAAACTTGCCCAGTGCGCACTACCAGCCCACGCATGCGCGTTTATTTTTATGCAGAATTGTTTGGACAAACAATAAAACAGGACAAACAATGTGAAGTAGCAAATTAGTTAAGATACACAATAATGGGTTTTGTAATGAGAAATGCGAAGCAGGACTTATAATATTAATTATCATGAGTATCCTTGCGTTGTTTAAAAAAATTCTGTGAAAGATCTTCAGTTAATGAATGTATTTTGTGGAAAATTAACACTTTTTTCATGCCTCTCATAACAATCATGCCACAACGAATAAATAGAACTGCACGATTCGCCACAATAAATAAAAAAAGAAACAATCCCAAATCTAGAACAGCCCCCCTAGACAAAACGCACTTTTTGATCGAATCGAATATCGAATCCGTCAAAACTCCATACAAAAAAGGGGCTTTTCGACCACTTTTCGACTGGTTTGCGATTATAATTTGCACTTTGTCTAGACCCACAGGATTCAAATTCAAAAGTTTGAATTGTACCTGAAACGAATCCCGAATTCGACATTCAAACGGCATTCGAATTTCGAGCAGTGACGTCACGCAGGGGTGGCGCTACTGCAGCCACACTTACATCTGCCAATATTTACACAGCGCCCCTTAGCACGCACCCGTTCATATTTCAAACGATTCGACGGGGGAGACACTAAAGACTACAAAATACAAAGTTACAGGCCTTTGTTACAATGACCCGTAACAATTTTGGGTGAATTTATAAATTCACTGACAAGAGAATACTGCTTTGTATAACAAAAATAAAAGACACCGCTACAATTCAACCTCAAAGCACACTCAAAGCATGTATAAAAATTTCTGAACTGAATGTAATTATACTTGCGGAAAAAACATTCAAATGGACAATGTTATATGAGAGGTTTCATAACATTTTCATGAATATCCTCCTAAGAAAGTTCAAGAAAACACGTCCGCACCAAGCATAATAATAATATCTAAACATCAGAAACTTTTGTCATGGCTGGCTGTGCCACCGTGAACTAGGGAGTTCTACTACCAAGAGCGTAACGAATAAGAAGAAATAGGCAAGAAAATCTAGAAGAAAATAGGATGAAAAGATGCAATGCGATTACTCGGACCTTTTTGGGGAACTTAATTGAATGGGTCGCTAGCACAAACTTATGTTCAGGATAATGACCAACAAAGCAGTGTCGCCGTTCACCGAATGCGGGCGAACCGAATATTGTTACGCGTCGGTGTAACAAGCAGCCGAATCAAGCCCGCGAGTGTACGAATGCGCGCGTCTAGTTAAATCGATGCTTTTCGTTTTATTCCGACTCACGGTGATTTTATAATCCGCGGGTGTGAGTACGCGTCGTCGATGTACAGACGACAGCACATCAAGTTGTACAATGTTGTTGCAAAATCATCCTTATTTCGACTGCATATGATATGGCCATTGCCACAGTGTTAAGCTTAACAAGCTGCTGTCTGTACATGCGTTCATGCGTGATCGTAAATTCATGCCGGTAAAGAAATTGAGGTGGCAAATGTAAATCGTTTTATGCGATGAGTTGGCTGATAAAATTGAGGAAGGATTTTGAGTCCGTATTCTGAAACAACGTTCAAAAAACTAGATTCAACTTAAACTTAAGTTCAGGCTTTTGATTGGCTGATTTTATGAAATCGAATATAAAATAACAAACGAGGCTTGCTAGAACTTCCTGGAGATCTCTAGGATCGAGAGGCATTGGGACGGAAATTATTATTCTTCTATTAAAAAAAAATTTTGCTTGTTATGCATAAAAAAAAATTCTGCTATTAACAAATATTTTTCTTCTTTTAACAGTTTCAGATTTCACTAACCACGACATTGGATTCCGTCAGTGCCATCGGATTGTCTTGTTAACTAAACTTAAACCAATTTCATAGAGATTTCTGAAAATGATCCAAAAGGATAATGAGATGAATTAAATTCCCCATTCACAACTCATATTAGACTACGCCTAGATATACCTTATCTAGGTACAGTCGATCAGTAGTGGTCATGGTCCTACCAACATGACAGTCAACAAATAAGGAGATGGTACAACAATATCTTTTACTCATCTTTGACGTCTATTTACATTTGACGTTAACATAGCTCGAGTTTAAAATTTTCAGCACAATATCATGTGGCTGTTAGGTCTACCCGGGGCTTTTATATATTTCACCGGGACACCATGGCGGCGCAACCAGTCGCCGCTACCAACAAAATGTATGCAGCTTTGGGCAACCAAACGGACACCAGGTGAGTAACTCTCTATAGAGCTGCATACATTTTGTTGGTAGCCNGCAACCAGTCGCCGCTACCAACAAAATGTATGCAGCTTTGGGCAACCAAACGGACACCAGGTGAGTAACTCTCTATAGAGCTGCATACATTTTGTTGGTAGCCGGCGACTGGTTGCGCCGCCATGGTGTCCCGGTGAAATATAGCCCATACTATCTGAAGTCCTTATAAATGATGAAGCAAAGGTATTCGCAAAATGGATCGCAGTTGTTCGCAGTCATATTGAGCATTTGACGCAACTCACAAGAGGCGTATGCGCAAGCCATTTCAACAGAGTGGCGTGGAGTATTGCTCGTCAGCACGCGCGATTCATCACGTGACATAACCACGGGGCAAAGAACACAATGATTTGACACAGAGTTGCGGCAAAAGAAAAATCTGAAAAATTCTATTTTAAAAAAAAATGCTTAGAAAATGCAATGAATTCTGAAATTCTGTCAACAGTGAGGATAACAGTTGAATAATTATGTTATTTGGGATGTGGGGCTAAATTCCCGCTTCCAGCATATACTTAGTATTTTCAGGATGTTCAACGTTTCAAAATCATTGGCTGACACAGTACACGAAATTGTATGTAAAATTATAGATACAAGAGGGTCAAAATACACAGCATGGATATTATAAGAGACCTGTTGAAATATCCATGCTTGCACAAAATTTTCTGATACTTTCAGTAGAAACTTTAGCAGCTAACTTTTTTTACTAACGAAAAGATTCTGTTCTGTGGCGCAGCTTACGGTGACTTATCCATAGAAATGTTTGACGTTCATAAGTGTCAAGGTAGCGCGAAGGCGCTGAATGCAGGTTGCTTCAAACCGATCAATCCTTAAAGCATTGGGGGTAGCCTATGTTTAGCAGTGGAAGTCCTTATTACTGAACTAATAAAGTGTCAAAAAACATGTTTTTTTTTTTTCATTTCAATCGCATCTCTGTGGCGCACGTCTGGTTCGCCGCGATAAAGGTGCGTCGGGAAGGCGTGAAGTGCACTCCACGGACCACCCAGCTCGATCGGCAAATAAACGGTTAATAGCACCGAATCCAGAAACGCAAAAAACAACTAAGGTGTTATCATTGAAGTTATGAGGATATTTCGGAAAGTGTGTTTACGTAGGCTGAGGCCGTGTTGTGGCAACGTTGATGTTATTTTTAATGGTTTGTGGACGCGATTTGGTCAGTAAAATGCTGGGTGATGATGGATTTTGGATTCTAATGCCCGTTTTCACCATCAATCCTTAATTTTTAAGTGACCCCTATGAAAAAAAATCCTGTTATGTGTTACCATAGGTGTCACTTAAAAGTTAGGGATTGATGGTGAAGACGGGCATGAGTTTTTGTAGAAATCAAGTGAGTAAAGGAATAAATAACTTTGTGCCCAGTAAATACAAGTGGACTTCTAGCAAGAATCATAGAAAATATTTATTTAATATTTAATGAAAAGCTGCATACGTCTTGTACCCAAGTGGCAGATAACGGAAGACAAAGGTTTATTTATCAAAGGGTAGGTGTTTGGTACAGTATACAGACAGGACCTCAAATAATACTTATCGGACAAAGTTATTGTATCATGTTAGTTAATAAAAAAAAAATCCTTTTAAATGAGAACGTTTCGTTTACGATTCTTGCATATTAATGGTACCCGATTTGAAAAATGTGGCGAAAAACCATCTTGCAACCTTAGCATAAACTCAAAACATTAGTACAACGCCATCTATTGCAAGTTAATGGAAAGAACTTTCACGTCGACTAGGCATTGATATTAGCGACATCTACACTAGCAGATTAAACATCAACACGCTCATAGATGGCGTTGTTTTAGGATAGTAGAAAAAGTTTAGCGACCATAGATGGCGTTGTTTGAGAAAAGTAGAAAAAGTTGGAACTAACCTTGATTTCTTCAAGAGCCTGCTCCGCGAATTTGGCTTCGGACGTTGCATGATTATTCTGTAAAATAAATAAAAGCTTTAATGTACAATCTTGACCACATAAATATGAAAAAATAAGTCACCGCATCTTGTGCTTTAAAGAATGGAATCAATCATAGCTGTTCTAAAAGGGGTTTTATAAACCAAATAGCTGATTGCCCGGGACTACTTAAATTGCATTGGTTGGGTTTCAATAGAGATCAAGCTATAGATATAAGCTATACAGGAGTTATAGTGATGGGAACCAAAGGTGGGTGGTGGTCATAGCTGCATCAGTACTTAATTTTTTTTTATTACGACAAACATTACATCAAAATTTCTCTTTAGGTGATAAAAGTTACATATTTAATGCTGTTTTCCTACGAATAACCAACGCAACAGCAATATACAAGTGTTATCAGATGTTTAATCTACGAGAACGAGGTTAATTAGCTATACGTCAAGTATAATATAATTATGACGTACTGATTGAGCTTGTTTATATTCGAGTTTAAACTTTAACATCTTAATATTAGGTGGGTATTTAATTTAATCAATTTACCGTTAACAACTATAGCGGCGCGGAGAGTTTGTCCAAAGATAACAATTATTTGAAATTCTCAATATGACTTTGTTTTTATCCTGTATAGGGAAAGGGATCAAGCGATTATAGTACATATTATTGAAAATATAAACCTTATTCACAAAGCTCAAAAAGCTATGAAATAGCTAAACATGCTGTACACTATAAAGGGCCTAATCCTTTCTATAGTTTAATTTAGAATTTTCAGAACTTAACTCCAGAAGGGGTATTATTTACTCCTTAGAACTCTATCCCAAGAATTTGGGCAATCCTACTAATATTATAAATGCGAAAGTTTGGATATCATGATGTTTGGATGTCTGGATGTTTGTTACTCTTTCACGCTTACTGAACGGATTTTGTTGAAACTTTACAGTATTACTGTTTATTGTCTGCGACACTAAATTTCACGCGGGTGAAGCCGCGGGCGAAAGCTAGTCTTATATGAATTTGTGCAGAAGCTAGACGATTTGACCTCTAGCACGTGCAGGAAAGAAATTATCACATTCCACTTTGCATTTGGATTGAAGCCAGCACACCAGGCATACGAGATAAGAGCAATAGCAAAAGTAATACGAATGAATAGTTTCAAATTACATTTAAGACCATTCTCTTTTTAATTGATAACTAAAATTTTGGAGAAAATAATATTAAACAACCCTTAAGGCAACCCTAGCTGTTCAAACGTAGTTTAATCAGCTGTAGATCAATCTATTTATAAAAGCGAAAGGTCACTGATTGACTGACTCGCTCCTTTTAGAACGTTGGTGCTCACTAAGACGGGATTTTGCAAAATTCCCCCTAATGGGGTAAAAAGCGATTCACGCGTACGAGGACGCGGGCGGCCGCTAGTTTTTAAATAAAATCCAGGTCTATTTGTTGTCGTAAGATCGCAGGTTCGATCCACGACTGTTTTTGTAAATACATACAAAAATGTATACTTACTCATTAAGTACTATATTCAAAAACAAGTAAGTATTATTTATACTTGCTCCGTTTTAAGACGCATTTGGGGTAGTAGGTACACTGACAAGATATATTTATGTTTATGGTGAATCACATTGTCTCAGAAAGTTAAAGTTAAAAAACATATTTGGACAGAAATATTTTAAGCCGTTTTTATTTTAACTGTTTTAGACTCTAGCTAGAAGTTTATGACCAACCATCTCTATTAATATCAATAAAACTTGAGTTTATTTTGTGAATCCGGATCCGTTTCGAAAGAAAAAAGAGAACATTTTCAAAAACTGTTCGCAAACTGGATTTCATTAACCGTAGCGTCACGCTCCATCGTAATAGTGACGTGCAAAAAAGCACGCACTCAAAAAACAAAAACAACACATCGTCCGATACGATCTGCTTCTGGTCAATTAATCGGACCAGTCGACGCAGAATCGATTATACTTGCATATTAATAGCGTTAGTAATACATTAATCGATTTGTTCCCGACAGAATACCGTGTGATACCGTTCAGAGAACTATATGTGCAGTGATTTAGTTTCGAACGGTGGCAATTAGCTATTTGCATTAGAAATACAGGAGAAAGTTGTTTACAAGTGTCGGGTAAACATCTCCAAAGATGGATCCACTCGGCGCTGTTCAATTTATTGTGTAGAATGTTCTAGCGTTAGTCAGAGTCTATTAAGGAGCTTCAACGACCGGATAATAGTCGGTTTTAATGTGATTTTATAATTTTTTACACCTAGTAAACTTGAGTTATAGTTTCTTGAAGCTAGCCGGTTACATGAAGAATAGCCTAATCAAGAATAACCAACATTTAAATAGGGCACACAATACGCTTGCATTTTATTCATTGCTGAACATAGGCTCTCCCAATGTTTTCCATGTTGCCCGGTTGGGAGCGGTCTGCGTCCAGCGCTTTCCTGCTACCTTTATGGTGTCGTCGGTCTGTGTTTTATTACATTTTTAAAGTACATTAATTGAGCAAATAAGCTTGTTGGTCACGTAAGCAACAAACGATTACTGTCATTGACATTCTAAGGCCAAAATTAGATTCAAAAGGTACATTCTGTCATTCTGTTCATTTGTCTCTAAATATTGCAATTCAACCATTCAAAAGCCTAATTATGCTTGAAATTGAATCGAGTTTTGAGTTTTGTTCTGTAATTAGACATTGCAAAGAGATCTATAGAATCTGTGGGCACATAATATTTATAATACAGTATCCAAAACAAGCAATAGAAAATGAAGAGGTATTTGAACTGAAATGTGGCAGTAAAACGAACGATCTTGGTCCGGCGCCAAGATATTTTCAAATGCCATGTCCAGACTGGACAGACGACCTAACTAGATACATAAAATTACCTACCTAGTGACGTTATCACATAACGCACCCAAACAAATGAAAACGATAAGATCGCCTAAAGTAAACCGTGCCAGCTTTTGTTTTTATGGTAAAAGGCATTTTAGCGTGGAACGAAATGAAGAGAATCTGTGTGTGGACATTGGACATACAATCAACTCCGAAAAACGTTATCCGAAGTTTCGACTGTTCCTCTCACGCAAAGCGTGATGCCAGCATGAGTGACGGTGACAGATAGACCTGAAACTACACTACGTAAACAGCGATTCGGTAAACATTTTAAACACAAACCACAAGAAGAAAACTCTTAGCCTAAATTTCTCATAATATGTCACATGGGTAGTGATGATTACGATTAGGCTGAAGATAGAAGCGAGTCCTCAAGACCCATCTTACCTCAAAATGTCGAAACACAGGACTGTTAACATTGTTGTTATGTCAGCAGGCTTAGTTAAGATAATGGTAAGCTAGTCAAGCGGATTTAGTACCAGCCCTAATATACCACCAACTAGCTGAAAATTTTGGCCTTTACGGCAATCAAACCTGAGGCATATCTGGGACTAAGACATTTTGGTCTTACCACTAGACCTCTCCCTCTGGGAGTCCCTAGGGACGAACAAAGTTTCCACCTATTTAGGTATACTAAAATGAGCTCTCCTACGATAACATTAGAATTGTATTTATTTTTACACTAAGTTACTGTTATTCGACATGATTTTGTATTGAATTAGTTCATTTTTTATATTTTAGAGAACTATTCTAGATTTTAACGCTTTCTTAGCTGCACGCGATATTTAAAGATAAAAAACTTCATTATCTATTAGGTTCGTTAATTAATTCATTTAATTCAAATAAGTAACATTTTTTCAGTAGCAAAAGTTGGAATTTAACGTTGTTTTAAAACCGCTTGCCTTGTTTCGTTTCGCATATTTTGTGAAAATCATTAAATCATTGATATACCTTTTATATTACGATGTAGGTATAACTTGTTGGCGCTTTGGAATTTCTGTGTCTTCAAGCCGCATGTTATAAATAAATAAATAAATACAATTTGAAGTAAGAATTTTCTGTGCTAGAATAAAATCGACGCATCCGAAAACTACGGTATATGGTTACTAAACCTTTGTTTGTCACCTGTCATCCGCTTTGCAATGGAGGGAAGTCGAACCTTAACCTCGAACTTCTCCTATGTTCTTCTGATTAATTTCGTAGCGGGTCCAATGACAGTTTAACTTTCCCCCAAAACAAACCTGACTTTCACTAGTTGGGTTTTTATTGGCGGTCAACTTGTAGATCCTGGCTACACAGGAGTTGCAGCGGTGGGAACGAGAGATGGGAATAGTCTCGTATACGAAAACTCTGGTAAAAGCAACATGCTAGCAATGAATAAAGCTCTAAACGAAACTTCGTAAAGGTTTGATGAATCATACAATGACCCGGTAACTAATAATCATGACACAATCGTATCGACAGTTTTATCTACGAAGTCGTTTTGTCTAACCCTTATATGTCAACTTGGCGATGACTAACGGTACCAACGCCTTAGTTATAGCAGTTATAGCTCCAATATTAACTAGCGAGTCGATTTCTGCATTTCCAATCTATCTGTCACTCTTTCACACGGCTCTATCTCAGGATGAGTGACAGAGACAGTCGAAAACTTTTGTAGGCCCTCTATACCGTAGAGAAGCTAGCGTTAAATACGAATCGCACGGCGACCGGACCTAACGCGCAGAAATTAAAATGATAAAAAAGTAATTCCTAAGGGGTCTACCTACATTACAAAACGTATTCTCTATCTCACTTACTCTTGCTTGCATCGGTATATGCGTGCAAAAGAAGTTTAGTAGAGTCGATGTACAGTTTCAGATTACAGCATGAGAAACGCACTGTCATGCTCCGCGACAAATTACAATTATTAAATGCATTTTTTGCCTAAAATCAATGTTAATTAATCATTGACTGCCGGTATTTCCAGACGATAAACCTGTACAATCACTGGGACATTCGCCTGTAATAATAACTGTGTTACGATATCGATCATCAAGTTTGATCCATGGGCATGGGGTAGCAGGCCTTTGTCCAGCAGTGGACGTCATTTGGATAAAACTTCAGATCATACAAACGACAATACAAACGACAATACAAACGACCGAACTATTGATAAAATGCTCTACGTGAGTGCTCCCAGCGTGTGACCACCTTTAGAAGTTTTTCACCCTAGCTAGTCACTTGTTTTTGTACAATTTGACGTATTGATGTTTCACGTTAGCCACATGGCATGTTCGACGTTAATTTAATAAATAATTAATTAGAAAATGTGTCTAGATAATATTATCCCACACTTTTTATTAGAATGCAGTATTTGAATTAATAAGTGAATTTGCGATTTCCAATATAATAAGATCCGTTTTTTATAAAGCACAACCACCAACACCCACGATTTCTGGCGTAGTAGCCGAGCTACGATACGATTCCGTAATTCGGAAGGTACATTATGAGACGTCTACTACTTTTTTTAGAGGAGCTGCTCTTTCAACCCGTCCGGCTCTCTCATAAGGAGGAGCTAGCAAGTCCCATCGGGAAAGACGATAAGGTTTTATTACCTAAATAAAACCCTAGACTCAGCGGTCGAATCACGGATCAGGACCATCGGGAAAATGGTCAATGCATGAGAAGAAAAAGAAACTAAGGGCGCCTTCAAATTAGAGGCGTGAGGATTGAGGAAGCGCTGCAGTGGCGCCATGTTTGCGTTTGTCTGGATAGTGGCGCTGCTGCAACTGCGCTTCTAAAAATTGTATGAAAACCAGTAGTGGTCTGGCAAGCGTGGCACAATGGAACGACTGCAGCGCTTCCTCACGCCTCTAATTTGAAGGCACACTTAAAAGATGAGTGTTAAAGGACATTTACCACCTCCCGTTCCCATCCCACCGCTGCAACTCCTGTGTAGCCAGAATCTACAGTTTGACCGCCAATAAAAACCAGTGAGGGTCAAGTTAGTCCCGGGGGAAAGTTAAACTGTCATTAGAACCACGACGAAATGAAAAGATGAGTGTTGTATACTAAACTAGCTGTGCCCTTCGTTCGCGTGAACGTTTTTGCATCATTTTTCATTGTTGCTCTGCTCCTATTACTCGTATCGTGATGGTAGCCTATAGCCTATAGCCTTCCCCGATAAATGAGCTTTCTAAACAGAATTTTTCAAATCGGACCAGTAGTTCCTGAGATTAGCGCGTTCAAGTAAACAAACAAACTCTTCAGCTTTATAATATTAACTAGCGGCCGCCCGCGACTTCGTACGCGTGAATCCCGTTTTTCCCGCTAATTCCCGTTCCCGTGGGAATTGCGGGAATTCCTTTCTTAGTGCACCTCTACGGTACCTAAGCTACGTCCCTTCCAAATTTCAAGTGCCTACGTTTAGCCGTTTAGGCTGTGCGTTGATCTGTCAGTCAGTCAGTCAGTTTCTCCTTTTATATATTTAGATAATATAGTATAGATACTAACGTCTGTCCTCTCGTGTACCATCGCTCGCACCCGCGAGTATACTGCCTCCTCGCGCACGCGCGCCGCGTCCCGTATCTCGCGCACCAGCTCCGACAGGAACCCGGGCGAGTACTGCCCGCCGAGCATACCTGGAAACACCACGGATGATCTTAATGGCGTCGTGATAAGGAACAGATTTGCAGAGACATCATGCACTGGGTAGTAAGGCCGGGTTCCCACTATGCCGGACCGGCATTTCTGCCGGAAACCGGACACCGGACAAGAGTGTTCACATTAGGGGTCATCCATAAAGTACGTCACACGTAAAGAGGGGGGGAGGGGGTTGACAAAGTGTGACATGGTGTGACAAGGGGTGGGAGGGGTCCTAAGTTTCGTGACATCACATTTCAATTGTTTTAAATATTTGATATAATGTTGATTTAATAAACAAAAGTACTTAATTTAAATGGAAATAAAACTAATTTCGGAACTGCTGTTAATTTAATAATTTTTCGATGTGAAATTGCAAAACATGTGACGTCACACAAGGGAGGGGGGGTCTCAGAAATGTGACCACCTGTGACAAGGACGGAGGGGGGGTCAAAAAATCATGAAATTCGTGTGACGTACTTTATGGATGGCCCCTTACACCGGATCACCGGATCCGAAATCCGAGCCGAATGAAGTGCGGGGAGCACGGGCGGGGCGGGGCGGGGAGCACGGGCGCGGCGGGGTGGGCCGCAACTCGTTCACATTACTCCGGTCCGGTGATTTTGCCGGCATTTTGTAGCGACAAAACGCTCGGTAAAAATGCCGGGCTCGGCAAAAAAGCCGGATCCGGGATAATGTGAACAGCTTCATACAATTTGTACCGCCGCTAGGCCTTCCGGCGATTTTACCGGACCGGGAGATCTGCCGGTCCGGCATAGTGGGAACCCGGCCTAACAGTAGCATTCGCCCGAATTCGAACAGGAATCCGGGCCAGTACTGCCCGCCAAGCACACCTGATAACACCACGGATTATCACAATAACATATTCATCATCATTATTTCGACGTTAGGACTTTTACTGCTGAACATAGGCCTCCCCCGATGTTTTCCACATCGCTCAGTTGGCAGCGGCCTGCATCATGACAGGATGCATGATGACTTATCTTCATCAAAAAAGGCTATTTCGAACAACATAAAACCTATGATCTCCAACTAGGTGGACTGATGATCTGATGAAAGTCGCATGAAGTACATGGACCTGGATACGGGTAGCGCAGAGCCGGTCGTTATAGAAATCCTTTGTACCTACAACTGTGAACGTCGTTTAGCTGAAACGAACGAACCAACTTCTGTGCTTTTTGAAATGGAAGAGCCAAAAGTATGTAACCATTTTAAAAATGTTCCAGTTTTTAAAGAACACTAAAGATTTCGATTTAAAGTTTGACGACCTCTATGGTCGAATTGGTCGAGTCGTACACACCGGTTTTAATGTTATCGCCAGCTTTTGAGGGTTATAATAAGGCATGTATTTAAATGATCTTTTTAAATTAGCAAAAACGGCAAATAAAAAAATCTAAATGGTCATCTATTTTAATGATTGATCCTCTTTCTTTGAGACATAAAATAAATGAAATCGATCGATATTTTAATCTCTTTTGAACTACGCAAAAAATTATTGAGATGTAAAAATTATATCGCACGTTCATAATCAAACCGTCACTATACAAAAAAGTCGATTTTTCAGGAAAAGCATTTGAAATACTCAAATTTTAAAACCTTTGCAAAGTGTGCAAAATGTTCTTAAATGTTTTGTTTTTTGTTGAATACCAGTAGTGGCTTGTTTGGCTTTTACGGGAATATAATTATCTTTCAAATTATCATAATGGTTTATTTAATATTTAATTTTTTCCCTAAAAATAGTGTCACTTTTCCACTAAAATTGAGACAGTGACAGTTTTCAATTAAAAACATGTTAATGTTGTATTATTAATTCCGGTAGAAATGTCACTATTTTCATATAAATTTGACGATGAAAGATTAAAAAATGATTATTATTAAATAAAACTAACATAGAAAAATCAGTAATTTTAATGAACTTAAAACTTTATAATTTGGATTAAGTGGTACCTATGGTAACAGTAATAAATGTAAATTCTCGATCAGAAATAAATACGTTACACACATGAAATTACTATAAAATTACATCACATAAATCAACTTCTTAGAAAATAAGGTACTCTTTTGTTCAGGCAGCCTTTAAACAACAAGAACTTGATGACCTCGATGAACTTGACGAACTAGATAGTGATTTTTCATGGGAAAAGGGCTCAGAGAAGTAGGTTTAAATTCTGGATCATTATCCAGCGGCCATTACCTCTGCGAGCTATGTGCCCCGCCCACTGCCACTTGATTTTAGCGATTCTGCGGGCTATGTCGGTCACTTTGGTTCTCCTGTGGATCTCCTCATTTCTGATTCAATCACGTAGGGAAACTAACTGAGCATCGCACGCTCCATCACCTTTTGGGTGACCTCTCAGATCCATAAAATATCACTGGCAACACACACTGATCAAAGACTTTTGTCTTGAGGCACTACGGTATTTCGGACGTGAAAATATCACTAAGCTTCCCAAACGCTGCTCAGCCGAGTTGGATTGACGATTGACCTTTTTCTCGAAGTTGGACCTACGTAACTGGACTGTTTGTCCCAGGTATACATAAATTGTCAACAAACTTTCGAGTGTAGAGTCTCCAGATGAGTGGATACTACATGGACATTTGACATGTTTTTTGTCTTGTCCATATTCATTTTCAGGCCCACTTGTTGAAGAGGCTCTACTTAGGCCATCGAGCATTATGCCTAGATCTTCCATCTCAGATCTTCAGTCTCAGCCATGATTACGACATCGGCAGCAAATCGAAGGTGGATGATGTACTCGTTGATATTTATTTATGCTGAATCCACTCCAATCCAGAAGCTTGAAAACATCTTCCAGGGCGGTGTTGAACAGTATCGGAGATATTATGACGTCTCCCTGTCTCACCCCTTGCTGCAACTGGATGAGTTTCGAGTCCTGATCCTGGAGACGAACCGACATTGTGGCGTTTTCGTACACACCTTTCAACACTTCGATGTATCTATAGTCAATTTGGCACCGTTGGAGAGACTGTAGCACTGCTCAGATCTCGATCGAATCCAAGGCATTTTCATTTCTTTACAGTTACTTTTGTGAAGCCTCAATGTAACCTTGCTGGTGATCGAATAAATAAATAAATAATCCACAAACGCTAGATAAAGTTGTAATTGATAATTTCTTTGATTTTACTAGTGTTAGGATTGACTGGTGGCATTTTTGTTAGCTGTTAAAAAAAAATATAACTACCTACTTAATCATTTAAAAATCTTTCTTGTTGTTTTAATATTACACAATTTGGATAAACACAATATTCTACGAAGTGATGGAACAATCTTCTTAAAAATGTAAGAGAAATATTGTCACTTTTTGTTTTAAGGCGTTTTTCGTATTACTTTATTGTGACTTATCTTAATGATTTGGAGTAAAAGCGTCTTTATGCTAAAAATGACGTTTTTCAACACAGAGTCCACATAACTATCACGGCGTGCCCGTCCAGTTCCCGTCACTACTAAAAACGTGTCACTGTTACTCACAACATATGCCGTTTTCCCCATTAAACTCCATAACGACACTAGTCATATCTGCCGAACTATTTGAGTTTTAAGCGTGGGATTTTTACAGCATGCACTTTTCGCGGAGCTCTGATAGATGGCGTTGTTAACTCAATTTCTCCCAATTTCGTATAGTGACGGTTTGATTATGAACGTGCGATATCTGATCGTTACTTGTTGGTCCTCAAAAATAAAAGAAATGAGCATCAAATATTCAATATTGTGATACTTTTTTAAATAATTCGATTTGTATAAATTATTTTTTGTCTATATCAAATAATCTTCAAAATAATTATGTTATGGTACTTATTTTTATTAAGTTGTAGTCAAAGGATGGAAACTATTTAAAGGCACTTGATGTTCAAAGATTTATTTTTTATTAAAAAAGCCTTCTTAACACGTTCACACTGCGTTATCGGGTCGAATTGACCTTAGGTGCTGGATGCGTTGGTGCGGGATGGATATATTCGGTCTTTTCAGTAGTACGAAAGATAAATATTGTTTTGCAATTGTTTCGTCAAACACAGTAAATATTTGGAAAAAAAAACTTATCAGGTCCTCACGACCCGATGTCGCACTAAAAGTAAACAAATATCGTTCAGTGCTTTTATCGTGTCTAATCGACCCGTTGACAGATGACTCTATGGTCACTGATCACGGTCGAGATCGGTATACTAAGTTAAGAGAAAATCAACCTTGCGATTTGAAAAAAAATAAAGAGGTAAAAAATTATGATGTCGGGTTCAGATGTCAGAAGTGTGGGATATGATGTTCGTCCACAATAAGGAAGCTAGATGTTAGTGCTTCCTTCCGAGCGGGTGTTGTGCTCGGGGACCAAGGTCCAATTTACACCATCTTGGTTTGTCTATATATATTTTGGCAGGATCTAAAACTCCGTCACCGCGATGCAGGTTTGTATGAGCGGCGGAGTGTGCCATAGTGAAGTAGTGACAGCGCCATCTGTTGGTCACTAGTTTTTTTTTTTAGTGGCGTCGCCACACCACTCCCCCCGGAAGAACCGGAGGTGGATGACGTCAGGATGAGCTCAGCAGTCTGTGCGTGATGAGCTTACAAGTGCCAGGTGTGCTCAAGTCTGCGGTGAGTCGAGACGAGCAGGTTGCGGTGCTCTATCCACGGTGAGTCGGGATAGTGAGCGGAGGCGTCTTCGATGGTCGGGCGTGGAAGCTGGTCAAGACCTGTACCCGTGACCAGTGAAGTGACGGTTGCTTGCTGCTGAGGAACCAGGAAGGTCGGTTGCGATCTGCGATGGTCCCCCTGAAGGCTGGATGCTGGCTTGTTGAAGACTGGAGCTGATGACGGAGGGCGGAGATGATGAGGATGGCGGAGGCTGATGCCGAAGATGGTGATGATGGAAGGTCACGTTCCAATCACGTCGGGGTCACCAATGTGGGATATGATGTTCGTCCACAATAAGGAAGCTAGATGTTAGTGCTTCCTTCCGAGCGGGTGTTGTGCTCGGGGACCAAGGTCCAATTTACACCATCTTGGTTTGTCTATATATATTTTGGCAGGATCTAAAACTCCGTCACCGCGATGCAGGTTTGTATGAGCGGCGGAGTGTGCCATAGTGAAGTAGTGACAGCGCCATCTGTTGGTCACTAGTTTTTTTTTTTTAGTGGCGTCGCCACAGAAGTAAGAAATTATTTTACATAGCGCCTCTAATCCCAAACTAAGCAAAGCTTGTAATTTAAACAAACATGGCAATGTACCATTCTGCTTGCTTATTGGCGCTAAGCCCTTGGCCAACTCAGTAACCAATGACGGACGATTGTCACTCAACCACAAAGTACCACATAAATTAAAAGATATTTTTTAATTAAAAATATTAACCAATAATATTTTTAGTAAGATCAAATATATTTTAAAGTTAAGTTATACATAGATCGAAATGTATTTATTAGGTGATCAATATTAAAAGGCAAACTTGATATAAAAATCATCAAATTAACAAAATTAAAGATCAATAACTAAAAAAGAGGATCAAATATTATTTTTGTTTACCAAATATTAAAAGAGTATGTTAAACATAAATATTATGTTACCTTAAATGAAGATCATTCATAATTTATCCGTAGATCAACTAATATAGACCCAATAATTAATACAAAGATAAAATACAATAAAATACATCATTTATTTTTAAAAGCGCACATACAAAAAAGATCAATTAGTTTTTAGAGGATCAAATAATATTGTCCCTTATAATAATAAAATAAGGATCGTAAGAACCGTCGGAACTTTGTATCGAAAGAGCCGCCGGTTACCGGTAATCTACGACAGTCACCACCAGATACCCTCATAGGGTTGTCTTGTCAGATTTTATTACGTCACGTGACTATTGGCCAAGTCAGGGTCTTAGCTCTAATTATAAAGCCAGATTTAACTTAACAATTACACAGGTTACTTAAGTTTACAAGTGCATAAAACCAGCTTTAATTAAACAATTTCACAGGTTTCTTCAATAGTGTCTGTAAACATCTCTTAAAATTTTAAAGAATCGAAAAATAAAATAACTGGTTTTGCCACCGAGGTGTCGGTCATTATCAAAATAGCGTTACATTTAATTTACACCGTTAACGTCTGATTGGGTAGACAGAAACATTTATATTTCGTAATCGTATAGGTATACTATGACATAGCTGTATTTCAGGGTCGAACAGTCCTATGGTTGCTGGTTATTGTGGTTGATACCATGACAAGGTATTGTAATAACAGATAATACATACGCGACCATCAAAAAACTTAATAATGAGTTAGGAAAGTAGTACAGCGACGGCACATGAGACTATACATTGTTGTAGCAAAATCGCCCTTATTATAAAACAACATAGTGTTTAGCCAGGTGTGCCGTCGACTGTACTTCGCCAAGGTATATTTTAGGTCACGTAAAACACGCGATTTCTTCGCATCACGAACGCACAACTGTGGTGGTACCGTCGGGGTAATGTTAGCGAGTTTATATCTCTTTAACAAACTCCTAAAGTAGTTCTGTCTGTTTGTTTACACAACTACAGCAGTAGGTACATTGTTTTTTTTTAATGTAGATTAAGAGTAGGAAACTTTGGAACATGATATGGCCATACCTTTCTTTCATATTATCAATGGATCAGGGATAATTAATACGCCTTTGGAAAAACGCGGGATTTAAGATTCTGCAACAAACAGAAAACCTCACGGAAAAGTCGCGAGTAGAAGTAGTTAAATGTAACTATGTGAAAACAGATTACAGTGGTAAAAAACCGTTTTGGAATAGTCCATTGGTAAATTTTAAATCTCTGGAAATACTAAATTAAAAGTTAAAAATGTTTCAATAACAGGAAACAAGCAATATAAACACAGTAAAAATATGTACAACATTGTTGAAATTCAATTAATATTTACTTTAATATTTTGGATAACGTTATCAAATATTATCAATCAAAATTAAATAAGTTCGGGCTTACAGAAAAAGACAATGTAATAAATATCTTTGAATGAACCTTGTTGTGATGTAATGAGAGTATTGTCTTTGAGACTAATAATGGAAGTTCAAGGTCTGTTATTATTTTATTCAGTAAGTTACGTAAAGTGAAGCTAACATTTCTGGTATTGCACGAAACTTATTTTTATTTGTAAACTTTTATCTGTAAACTTCTCTTTAAAACTTTCTTTTATCTTTACACTAACAAATGGTTTCTTTAAATAGACGGCTGAGATGAAGAAATTAGCAGAAATTATGAATAGAAGGAAAGAATTGATTACAGTTCCATTTATTTGTTACGCCATCGCGCCATGGCGCAATTTCGAATAGCTCAACGAGCATGAAGCTTCGTCAGGTTTCCTCAACGCAAGAATTTTGCTAGGTTACCCATCCATGTTGGCAAAAACTAAACACAGAGAACTTAAATCACGGTCACAATTCAAGTTAATTAGTCTTTTTAGCTAAATTAAAAATCTAACTTGTTTTTATAATTTTTTTCCTTTAATTTAAAAGTTACGTGCATACGTAAGTTTTTGTGCCCGATTGATTTATAATGCTTTGTTTATCGGATAAATAATTATCATTATGTTTTTTCATAATTTCAGGTGGTTCATAATCGAATTAAAATGAAAAAAAAAATGAACAATAAAGATTGGAAGAAATGTGAAATTAAACTAAAAGTAAAAAGCTAATTAAAAACTAGTACTTAAGATTTACTACTTCTACATGAATGAACATGTGATATACCTACCTGTCATCAGAACAAGTCATCAAATACCTAACAGAATTGTCAGTCATTTGTCACAATTCCAAGGAAAATTAAAAAAATAAAATTGAAATCATAAAATAATAAATGTTTTTTATTAAATATATTTTGCCAGTATAATTACGATTACACGGATTACACCCTATATTAATGCTAAAATCGTAAATGAAATTGCATACAATACTCACAAAAATGCATAATAATAAATTATAACGAATTTGACGCATTTTCCCAAAAAATGTAACACTTTAACCATTTTCAAAAAACAATTATTATGTGTTCATTGTTTTTTACTAAGCTAAGGCAGCAATCTAGTTTAACGAATCAATTAATAATTGAGTTTTACTAGATGTACTTAGTAAGGGGCCATCCATAAAGTACGTCGAGACCCCCCCTCCCTAGCGTGACGTCACATGTTTTGCAGTTCCGAAATTAGTTTTATTTCCTTTTAAATTATAAATTAAGTACTTTTTTATGAAATCAACATTATCAAATATTTGAAACAATTGAAATGTGATGTCACGAAACTTAGGACCCCTCCCACCCCTTGTCACACCATGTCACACTTTGTCGACCCCCTCCCTCCCCCTTTAAGTGTGACGTACTTTATAATAATCTATATATAAAAGAAAGTCGTGTTAGTTACTTCGCTTATAACTCAAGAACGGCTGAACCGATTTAGCTGAAAATTGTCAGGGAGGTAGTTTAGAGCCAGGAGAAGGACATAGGATACTTTTTATCCCGTTCGAAATTAAAAAAAAGTCTGCTTATTTATTGCCATTAAGGCGGAACAAAGTTCGCCGGGTCAGCTAGTAAAGAATAAAATTAACTGTAATTAATTTATCTGTGAAAGGCAAACAAGAACTCCATTCACACAAGTAATACAATAGCATGTAAGATTTTATATGAATGTGCTGATCAAGTATTTTCAACTATGAGAATGTGGAGATGCTTCAAAACATCAGGCCAGAAGAAAGTTGTCAATTTTGATCAAAAGTTTATAATACAAAAAATATATCCAAATAATTATGGACACCGAGTGGTCCATGTCTCCAGATTTGACCAATATTTAATTGAATTGCATAGATATTATATTAATAAATAAATTTGTCAGCCGTTTGGTGTAGTGGTTCAGAACGGACTACTATGCCGAGAGGTCCCGGGTTCGATTCCCGGCCGGGCAGAAATTGAAATGATGAATTTTAATTTCTGTGACGGGTCTGGGTGTTTTCTATGTATAATATGTATGTATTTAAAAAAAAATATATTTAAGTACGTTTATATCCATTGTCTAGTACCCATAGTACAAGGTTTGCTTAGTTTGGGGCTAGTGGCGCAGTGTAAAATGTCCAAAGCGATTTAAAAAAAAATAATTAAAAAATACATAATATTATGTAGTCAGTTATTATTTTTATAGTACTTTATATTTACAAAAGAGTCTATTGATGCGAAATAAAACAAGATTAACTTACCGGTATCATTTAAAGGTGAGTGGTTTGCACCTAAACTTGAACTGGAACCTTTTTGCAGGATCATATTCTGCTGGCGAACATTGTCCAGTTCCACTAAAATGAATGAATTAAATTAAAATACATTATGATGATACATAAACTACATAAGTACTTTGCTTAAATAACAAACAAAGTTCTCTTCTGGATTTGTCAGGAAGAGATTGCTTACTAACAATAAGATTGTTAAAATTGTGCTGTTTCAATTTCGTATTTATTCGTTACATTTGTTTTATTTTGTGACAGTTGTAATGAGGGGCTTGAAGGCAAAACCACCAAGTAAGGTGATTTAAAAGGATTAGGTGTTGGACAGACACCCCGGTTTCATATTTCTTTATTGAGTTGAGTCCAGTTAAATGGACAATGACACACTTTTTTACTCAATGTGTATAATTACGTAATGACAACAAGAACTTTTACTTTAAACGTAACTAAAGATTATTATTTAAACTCCAAAAAAGTCAAATAAATAACTAAGAAAGTATTCATTGTCACTGTAATGAGATAGTTAATAGGAAAACAAATAAAAAATGCACACTTTAGAAGCACAGCACGGTGCATTATTGAACGAATGGTTCACCTTGACCTGAATAATCTTGAGTGGGTGAGTGACATACGATTAGTGGGTGGATATACATAACTTAAGTCAAATGTGAGCAGCAAATCAGAAACATTGTTAAAGGTCAGAAAAATACTTTGATTTTTAACACAATGTGTTGATGATTAATCATAGGATGGATAATTTTGAATCAAAGTCTGATGTAAGTGAACTATCTGAATCTTATGAACTAAGATTCTTTAAAACAAAGTCAATTGCACATTTTAAATAATTCTGAGATATTATATGGTCAGATGTGTAATATTTCTAAACAAAAACAAGTTTGCAATAGTTTAACATGGTAAATAATGCATGTAATTTGAATTTCAAACTAAAACAATACACAAGTAAGTGCAATGTCTTACCTTTCGTCTCCAATAAGTCTTTGCTTAGTCTATCGTTGGCAAATTTTAGGCTTTTTATCTGATCAAGGAGATGAGTCAGAAGTCTACTGCCAACTTGGCTGCCAGACAAGTCAGAGCTTGACTCGGAGTCAGACTCAACTTCACCGTTTGCAGGCCTGGCTACATCGGGCAGCCCTCTCACACAGGGATCACTGAACCTTCTGGCGTTACTCCCATCATCTTTGTCATTAGTATTCATATCGCTGTTCGAATTCGTGTCGGCGACTGACGTAACTATCGGCGGCAAGCTGGCAAAGTCTTGACTATCCGTGAAGTTCTTTGGTTGGAGATAATTTGTATTACTCAACGTACTATTTGGCGTGCTGTGCACTTCCTCAGCCTTGTTTTCGCTTCGTCTCCGCATTCTTGGCCTCTGCACCTGGATACTCTTGTTCACGCTTTGTGTATACCGGTACTCGTGATTGTACAGAGGTGGAACTGCAGGACTGCAGTAACTAGGAAGCGTGGGAAGCGACATCGGCTCCGCACATCCATACATGTACCGATATTGGTCGAAGCCAGGCGCGAATTGAGAACTAACCAACGGAAAATTCAAATTAGGATTGACGTAAGTCTCGTACGTATCCATGCTTGGAGTAGAGTCTTGTATGTGATGTAAACTCTTGTCTAACCACTTTGAAAGATACGAGCCCTTGCTCCCCCGCGACTTCTTCCGCTTTCCCAAGGGGCCACCGTTTGATCCGTTCACTTGCTTCGGCGTAGAAGCCATTGATGTTCACAACACTGCACTGAGCAAAAAGTAACAACAACGCACTAGTACACTATAGTTTCAGAGAGCAAACGATGTTAATCTCATTATAATTGAAATAAATAACAAAAATAAACACGTATCATGCTGATCAGAAAAACCCGTCCGTTGCCCAACTTTGACGAAGAATGACAATTGTTGAACGAAAAAATGACAGTTGGCTGTCATCTGTCCACTGGCAATACGTTTCGGTTCACTAGTTTTTCAATTTCGTAATGGTAAAAACAACAGGATTTTGAAACTATTTTTATTTACATTTTACATCTTCTTAAATTGCCACATACACATCTTATGTATCAAGTCGAGAAACAACACTGATTAAACAGTTTTTAATTTATAATCCGGCAAAATAAATGTTAGAATAGTTATTTGCGTATTTAGCGCCATCTAAACTTCATAGCATTAAACATAACATAGCATTGTAAGCGCCATCTATTATCCTACAAATGTCAGTGCTGTTATGATAGTTTCAGTATCTTCTAATAGATGTCGGTAACTTCAGACTATTTTTTTCCATTTGCTTGCTTTGTAGGTAGATATGTTAAATATCTTTTATTTTCTTCATGATTTATGATAATAATTTTATTTATTTACAACAATTTTTAAGTATGTAGGCCTATATTTTTTATTATTGTTAGAGCAATTATTTGCTTATTTAGCGCCATCTACACTTTATAGCATTAAACTAACAAAGCAGTGTCTATAGCGCCATCTATTTTCTTACAAGTAAATGTCATTGCTATCATGATTTTATAATATGAAAATGAAAAATGAAAATGAAAAAATGAAAAAACATTTATTCAGTATCTTTTAAGTTAACATAATTGTTGCAAGTGGCTGGGGTCTCCTTTTAAGTATAATACCTGTGTTAGGAGGCCCCGCTCTTTCTTAAAGTTACAAAGATACATAATTATGTTAAACAAGCCACAAAAACTCACAAGTACGTATTACTAGAACTAGAACAACGCTTGATATCTTTATAGTTTTGGTTACACTCAGTAGTTTTGGTTACATTCACTAGTTTTATAAACAAACAGCTACTTATTTCATAATAAGGTATTTTTCAAAAGTAAGGTAAGGCTATGTGACACTGTGTGTGTGTGTGTGGGTATATATGTGTGCGTGATGGGTATATATAATAGTTCTAGTAACTTCTAACAGATGTCGGTATAATGACTTTGCTCAGACTTTTCTCCAAAGAGTAAAATAATTATACCAATCTTTTCTCCAATTTGCTTGCTTTGTTAGGAAGTATTATATTATCTGTGGTTAGGATAGGTATAGGTGCAGATAGGTGTAAAAACTTTGAAAACTTTTTATTTTCCTTATTTCCTTTACAACATTAAAAGTACACTGGTCATCACAAAAATCGGCCCACTGCACCGTTACGTTTTACAGGAAAACTCGTTTCTACTGACACAATCATGGTGCCCCAACAATATATTGGTGTTATTTGAAAGCCCAATAAATATCCTTAAAGAAAAAGACATTTAATTTCTTAATAAACGATTAACATATACAATAAATGTGACTTGCAAAAAGACCTCACTTTGGGCTCAATTAGACCAATTTTTATAATTATAAAACCAAATAATGATCTCACGTGTCCTCTTTATCAGATGGATAGCGATTAATCCCAACTTAACAGTTTTATAGCAATAAAAGTTGGCTCAAGCGTAACTATCTATTTTTTGAAGAAGTGACTCTGGATTCTTCTACAGACACATTTTTGGGGTAAAAACCTTTCCTTTAATGAAATAAAGTTTAGAACTAGGCTTTTAAATGGTGCCAATATTGGTGGGAAGTGGGGATGCATACGTTTGAAAGTGCTTGTCGCGGGTGGGTCGATTTTTGTAATGACCAGTGTATATTTTTTTAAGTGTTCACATCTACCAGAAACCTCATGTAATCATTTATTACTCTTTTTGGATTGATGTATAACTACCTAGCTAGGTAATTAGCTTAGGGTAGATAGAATAAAACAAACAATAGATAATGACAGAAAATTTAATATCTAAATATAAAACAATCTGATTCAGTATTTACATTTAGGTAATCATAGAATTCATTTTGATCAGATAATACAATTTTATTTCAATGTTTAATGACTCCCAAAATATATTTTACGATATCGAAAGAAAACAATAAACTTCCCCACAAAACAACATTTTCTATTTCTATGGCACAAGCCTTCAAGACTTCAATTGACATGATTACAAAATTAACTGTTCATAAGTGCTATAAAATAATGAAAATTGGCAGTATGTTTAAACTTACAATATGAGGTAAAGCAGCAAACGGCTTTATTTGGAGAATTTAATTTGGCATTACTCTTAGGCCCATTTGCATAACATTTTCGTGTTTATAGAGCTTGTGTCAAAGCGCCTAGATAACAAATTAAAGAAAATTATAGAACAAATTAATTGATACCAGGTAAAATTAACCGTGCTCATCATTTTATTATTTGTCAACCCAAGCGGGATCCAACCCCGCTACTGCAGCTACCATACACATAACCAACTTGATTCGTTCTTAAAGAATTTAAAAACAGGATTAATACAATTACAATCTAAGTTCAACTAAAGTTATGCATGTGGACCTAAGAAATTTTATAGTTGAACGTTTTCTTATGATGTCATAGACAATTTATTTATCTACATCGACTGAGGGATCGCGTGACTCCGAATATTAGATGATCATGCTCACTTAAGGTTGTAAGATTGGGTCACACAAAAAACAGTAACGAGTCACTTAACGCTTGTCCCTAATGAGTACAAGGCTTTATTTTACAGACTTTTGCAGTTTTATCGAGTTTTACATTAGTTGTAACTTGTATAAGACTTTTGGCACCTCAAAAGATTAAAATATTGCATATTGCCGTTTACCTACCCACTTAAAAACAAATAAATCAGGATAGTCGTAAACAATAAAGTAAAACTACATTTGCTGAATTTTTTAAACATGTTTGCTACTACCCTGACTCTATATTTATTCATAATATTAACTATTTTTTATTAATTCTTTGCTCATACAAACTTACCGAAAAGTAACCAACCCAGTACAGATTTGATTGTCAATATATCCAACACAAGTATTGTTTATTAACAATAACGACCCCAACTTAAAATTAAATTAGTTACGCTTACAATGTAATGTATATTACATTAAAACTAACGAGATTTAAGGGAAATCAATTGCATTAAAAGATGTAATACGCCCATATTCTGAAACGTCACTCTAAAATTGTATTCTCTGTGAAACTACTCAACCAATCAAAGGCATGAATCTACACTTGAGATTGAGTCGAATTTTGAGTATCGTTTCGCAATACGGGCCCTAATGTTTTCATAACCAGATTGTACTTAAACTGTACGGTACAGAAGTCAAAAACTCATCTGTTGTATATTACCTACTTAAGTAATACAATTAATATTTATATGATGATAAATAGTGTTCAAATACGGAAGAAAACAATCACAATATGTTTATTATTCGAGTGTGTGATTAACATTGGGGGTATTTATATTTATTATTTATATCTGTGATAAAACACACCCACATATGTTTGTTAACACAATGTAGTTAACGACATGTAAATAATTCAATCGTGAAATAATGAATGACAGGTGAACATTCACTATAATTTATGTTCTAGAACTTTACTTATACGATTTTAACTTCGTAAATAAATGTTTTTACATTTCCAATGTGATAATATAAATGCTCCTTTGATTTGATTAGACAAAATGTATGCCACATGCAATTAAGGCCCTTTAATAAAAACAAAAAAGTCTAATCACATTTTATTTTAAAAACAATGCTTTTGTTTATTTTTATCCTTATTGTGTCAAAACGCCGGTATAGGGCTGCCATATTTTTTATGAATTTGTGGGCAATAAAATAAATATATCAGTTCAATATTTAAAAAATAATAGTAAATGTGACTTGTGACACTAATGGCAGTGAAATTTGGAAACAATAGTGTTATATTTTCTTATTTCATCGATTTATTTTCACTATATTATCATAATGGGGAAATTATATGCTTTTACGTAAACTTAACTTCTAAATGAGTATAATATTTTGATCGTAAATTAAATAACAACTTAACTAGGCCTCGTTTACTTAAACCTCCCTTCAAATTGACTTAACACTAAAGTGCCATTTTAATGAAAAATTTGTGAAAAAATGTAAAAGTCTGTATATTTCATATGCCAATTTTCTTTTAATTATTTGTGTTTGCTAACACTGCAGACCGATGAACGGTCAGTAAAAAAATATATGCCGTGGGCAAAATGATTTCAATATTACATTATAGTAAGTATAGTGTAATATTGACATCAAAACCACATATTTTTTTCTTTTGAGACTGTCTTGAATTGGTGTAATGTTACAATTTTATTACAATAATTATATCTCTTACTCTTAACTATAACTATAATATAAACCTTATTACATCCACTCATACATTGTGTAATATATCTATAACAATAAAACATATAAACTATTCGTTCTTACCATACAGTATTATTTTTCTAAGTCACATCGTTACTTCATCCATCAACCAGGATTCCAGTCCATAAAATATTATTTTATTTATTTATTAAATTAAATCAAACATAGACGGGCGATATACGATAATTTCATGACAGATGTAATTTGAGAAATTTTGGACGTGCTAAATACAAAATGCATGATAAAAAATACCTGCAATATTCCTAATTCGTTTGAATATCATCTAGATTCTAGAGTATACACTACATAGAATACTATGAATACAAGAAATAGTATCAATGAGATTACAAAAAGTATTCTACAAAAGCCCCGTATTAGAAAACGGTGTATACTCAGTTCTAATTCTGGTCCAAAGACGTTCTTTCATTGAACATAATACATCGCTTTGACAAGGACTATGGAATCCCGTAGCACATTCAGACGTACCCTTCGCGACCCATTCATTCGCGAGTGATTCCCATTGGAAACATGTATTCAAATAAATCTTGTAGACCGTAGCATTTCAATAATCGAGGCGGACTTACTATAAATGCTTGTGGTAACATAATTCTTCAACACAACGGATCCGGACGTTAGAAATCACTCCGCATTCAAAGACACTACCCT